GGTAAACTGTTGAGAAGATTACTGAAATACTAGGAATAAGTATTCAAGAACTGATGAAAACATTGGAATGCTGGTTCGTGGATACGTTACCCGGTCCGTTTTTCAAATCCATGGAAGGGCGATGGGAAAGTGCAGTGGCTTGGAGGCTATGTAGACCATCGTTGTCGTTTATGTTGGTGCAGAACGCTCTAACCAGATAAATTATATGTTTGGTAGAAAAAACTCTACAGTAATCATGTTAACACAACTATTCGGTCGTGTTGCATGGATCAACTGGTACAACAGTTATGATGCCTAGTTCAATTTTAGACGTAAATTTGCGTGTTTTTCCGTCTCTCGTCTGCATTTACAGAATTTGACACTAGGACGGTGGAATCTAGGCGTAACGAGGGAACTACATGGTAGGCTCTTATACTAATGGTTTTACGGATCAGCTTGAGTTTTTGAAGTAGATTAGCTAGCTTAGAGGAATTGTTACTGTTTCACCACTACATTTATGACAGCGGTGAAGTTGCATCTATCTGTCGTCATGATTATTGATTGCGAAATCATACTGATCGATTTTGAGAGGTTTTATCTTACTAATCGGTTGTTCTTTCAGGCTTAGTGGCTGCTGTGTATGTATTATTTAGCATAGTACTATTACTAACTGCATAGCCTAGCGTAACTATTTCTCTAATTTGGAGAACTTATTCTATGCGTTCAACTTTTGGCTGTTTGCAAGAATACGAGCTAAATGTCGCCATAAAACGTCAAAAAGTTCACAAGAACTTGAAAAAGAGGCAATTTGCTGGGACTGCTGGGCTACTAGGCCTCCCGTTGCACAAGTGAAGACATTGAGGCGAAGCAAGCCTGCCGCGCGCACTGTTCCTCGACGTGCTTCGCCCAGCCCGGCCCTTATCGATCGAGGCCGGCTTAGTAGAGGTGGGAATTTGGGACTTCCATTTTCTATTAGGTAGAACCGACGTTGGAGACTTGCCTGATTTCACTACTTGGCCCTCCCGACGTCTACTTTAGCCACTGTAGACTTGATCTCTTTGTTATCTGTTTTGAATCGTCTTAGTGAAGATCCTACAGCAGTTTAGCTCTCGGTTTCAGTCCTGTCACTTCAGAACTGCTTCGAGTTAATTTCTGGTAGATGACTCTCTTCCAGACCATTGATTGCCTAGGAAATAACGCGTTCTTGATTCGATGCTTCATCTTTTTTGCATAACACGATGACAAACTGATGTTTTGCATTCGCATAAACGTTGTGAAGGTGTTTTTTTTTTTATGAAAGTACTCGTGATTCTCTTCGCATTCCATGCAGAACTCCCCACATGTTCCATGTTCCAACTGATTTTAGTGTTGCTTAGCATTGTCGCTTTGATTCTGTGAAGCTATTGCATATCTTATTAGAAATCTGGATGCATTTTACAATCACCTTATTTGATTTGTTGCAGTTCTAGATCTAGACGGCTTTATGAGGATTTCAGAGCAGATTGTCCTATGTCCAAGTGTGTTTGTGGCTCAAAAGACCGAATTTCTAAAACCTTGGCATAAATAACCGACATATTTATTTATATGTTCTTATGCTTCCCAGCGGTTTACCGCCTCATCGTGGCTGAGAGGTGTTCTTGGGTGGCAGACTCCGATGTGCAGCGAGGATTCACCCATTTGGCAGAGTTTACCAAGCTGAGGAGTCCGGCATTTCCATCAGGAAGCCCAGCTAAGAGTAAACCTATACCAGGATCCACCACCGTCCTGGTACCAAACTAGTCGCATGATGATAAATCTCCTGATTCACAAGGGCGGCAACTGCCTGTGGTGGTGAAGACCCAGGGCAAATTTTGGCTTGGCTGTCCTCTGGACTCCAAGGAACTACACTGCCTAAACCAGTCAAACTTCGAAAAATTGTGATTATGCTGGGGCCCGCACAACCATTGGGATGGGCCATCCATATATCCAAGTAAATAGGGGTGAACTGGTCTTGTTGAGCTGATGCGAGGTTGGTGTAGTAGTAGTTGTTGTTGCGTTGTTGTTGTTGTTGTTGTTGGTTGATGGCTGACATTTTGGCGATTTCTGCTTCAGAGCCATGCTGTTATAAGTGGGACGATGTTTATAGCGTTTGTGTAGTTGTTGGTTACACTTATAACTACGTACTGTTGAGCTGCAGTTCCATTTTTCTGGAAGCTCGTAGATTTATTCTTAGTTACCAGAGTATAGTTGTCAGAGGTCATGTTAAACCACATTTGTTTATTTATTGATTCAGGCGGTCGGTCTATCGTACTAAAAAACTGGGGCTTTGAACGCGCCGCTCCATTCTTGTGCTAGTTTCATCACTTTTCATAGCTTCAGAACCACACTTTTTATTTTCCTCTTAAGGATTTCAAATTTCAAGTTTTATCGATTACTTCATTTATGATTCGACATCGTTCTGGTGCACAACGTCATTTTTCCCATGCATTGCGTTTTTCTTATGAAGTCGTTTCTTTTCTTCTCCACAAATCCTTAAAAATCGGAACATTGCCATTTATTTCCATACTTCTTATGATGTGTCAAAAGTAGGTCAAGAAAGCTTTGCAGTTCATATTACAGATGGCCGAGGCGGAAGACGGCGGTGGGATAGGCCGACTGTCCAGGCTCGAGGCCAACTACCTTAATGGACCGTCAAAAAGCAGTACGGCACTATCCTTCGAGGCGCTTCTCGGTATGAGCTACGAAGTCTTTTGTGTATTTGCATTTTCATAATGATCACATTCCCACATTCACTGTGATTTCATTCACACGTGGGATGACTCGCGATGTTTTTTTTATGATACCGTCAAAGATTTTATGGATTCACTTGGCGAAGTTGATCATATGATGCGTAATTCACCTATCAACTGTAATCTCTTGAATCATTGAACACCTCAGATAGTTGTCAGTAGAAGTTAATCCCTGTCGCGTACCCGAGCTGCCCAGTAATTCCAATTCCAACGGAGAGTCACGGAAAAAGTGTCTTTTCCTGTTTGCATTGCTTACTCTCCCGGATAATTACGGGTTTCAGAGGCTCACTGTGAGCATAATTTGTTTGAAGCCATCACCAACCTCCTTGCAAACATTTAAATAGTAGTTTCGAGAGACTAAGGCGTTTGTTATTGCGGTTTTTTGGAGAGAGGACCACCAGAGACCATAGCTCTTAGAGCAGGTCCTTTAAAAGTTTAGTTTTAAGCTTGTTAACTTTTGGTAAATCTTCAAAAAGATGAAATGAATTGTGATGATGATGATGAACATGCAAAGCGAAGGACCCAGATGGTGTAGTGGTGAAGTGCGCTGCTCCCCGGTAAGGACAACAGCGCGTGTTCGTTCCCCACTGCATAAACCTGTGGTCCGGAGTTTTGCAAATATCTCAGCACTTCATACGAAATGAATTGTTTTCAATCTTTGGCGGCAGCACTCACAGCAAACACTATCATCGCATTCTTCTAGGCAACATGCCGCTTGTTCATTCGTTCTAGTGATTGTGATAAGTGTCTTGAGAGAAAGAAGTTAAAAAAGTGATTTATGGGCCTCTGGAAGATATCGTAGTAGTAGATAAGAAGTCTTGTGTGTTGTTAGCAAATTTCTATAGATTCTGACCGTTTGTATCAAGTTGATCAAGAGCAATTCTTAGAAGGTAACTTTGAAGTGCCATAACTAAGCTTACATTTTTATTAATCGAAATAAAAGTTGTTGGGTATGATTTTTGCTGGTAAGACTTAAGTTTCCACAACCTGGACTGGTATCGAAGTAAGTATCCAAGTAACCTGGGGTTATGAATTTTCGGGAGCGAGCTTAGATTCATGAAGCGTTTTACTTATTGGAGATTATCTCAAGCACTAGTTGTCGAGGTGCTTTAAGAAAAAGTCTTCTGATTAGTAGATGGTCCGATGTGTAAGGTGGATGAAGTGTGTTTGCGAGGATGAACTCGTTCAATTTTTGCAGCGTTATACACAGTATAGTCTGGCGTTGTTCTGCAAAAAGGATTGGACCATTCTATCTGGATGATGTATACGCTGCAGTTTTTGCTTGGTTTTATCGATTTCATGACAGCATTTTTCTGCTGGGATAGTCTTGACAAAATTATTGATGTTTTGCTTTCTAAGGGGATTCCATCTGCCGGAAACGAAAAAATCCCGATGGCCGCCTTCTATTGTATATTCGGCTTAAGGTGCCTAATTTCACTCGAATCTTCCTTCTGAACGTCGTAGTATCCATTGTTCAACACACTCCACAGCGGGGTCGAGAAATGGCTCTTTTTTATTGTCTAGGGGAATTTCTGAATCAACGTTTAACAAGAGTCTGTATGCCGTTTGTTCAATTCAATCGGCGGTGATTTAGCAAGCTTGCCCTTTTGCCCTTCCAGTGTTTCCGAAATAGCGGACAGTTTTTGAATCCTTAATGTGGAGTTTTCCTTCAATTCTTGAAATAATTTTTGGAGGAGGTGCGCAATCAGACGGCCGTCGCCTATTGTTGATGGACACACCCGACTCTTTTCATTATGAAGGTTCATATCTCCGGTTCCAAATGCGAACTCATGAATCAAAATGTTGATTTGCGAATTAGCCTGAGGTCGCAAACTAAATTTCAAGAAAGGCATTACCTGAAAATCTGTTGAGCAAGTAGTAAGCTTTGAAGTGATGTAAATGAAGATTGTAAATATTTTTTCATATACTTTTCACATGTGTCGGTATATTTATTCAACTGTACGCAAATACAATCATAATGAGACATTTGCGAAACTCCGGATCGCTGGTGTCTGCGATGGGGACCGAACAGCTATTACCCTTTCCGGAGGCCAACGCGTTCACCACTACTTCGTCCGAGCCTTTCGTTTCTCCATTCTCTCGGCCACGTTATTGACTTATAGGTGCTATCAGTAATCACCCGTCAATGGAATTGATCTCGGTGGCACAAATCGACATTGAACACAGTTAAGCTGAAGCTGTAGTATAAATCACAATGTCGTCATTTTCTGTTTATTGCCTGTTCTTTTTTAATGGCAGGGTATTATGTGAAATATAACCTTAATGGTTGTACGCAAATATTCATTTGAAAGTTTGTTCACGAGAGTGGTAACTAAGCAAACGACCATCGCTCTTGCATCGACGTGATAGCTGAAAGCTATTAAGGGTTAGCTTGTGCTGACATATATTTGTTTGAAGTTTTAAAGGCCGAGTTGTTTTTGGTTATGAATGAATTGAAACCAATCCGCTTCGTCCCTTATATGTATGGAAGTGATTATCAAGGTTGTTTCAAGCTAAATCCAGTTCATCTCTTTGCTAAACAGCCTGCTGATTTGAGTTCGTGATTTGTTTCCCACTTTCTGCATGTCGTTGTTCAAAATTTTTGGGCGTTTGCTATAAAGTGTTGTGAACACTTTTCCAACAATTTTTTGTTTTTGCAGACACTCTCATCTGCTTATATGACGAGTGTTGTAGCAGCACGTTACGAAAAGAGAAATGTGTCGCCGAGTTCGTTGAATCCGGTGAGTTTTCGGTTTTCCGGAATATGTCTATATTGCTGTAGTAGGGCTATTCAAGCTGAACATTGAAGTTCTTACGTTCTAATCATATGATCGCGTCATACACAGTGTTTTGACGTTAAAGTGTAAATTTCTGTTGGTAAAGATTTATGCAGCAAATATGGGCTTTTGGTGGCATCCACTTTAGTGTAGCAGCATATTGCATAGTTTATAAAGGTAACGTTAAACCTAGGTTAGTGCTGGTTTTATTGCTCAGGTTTTGCGTGATTCGCTGGAGTGACCTAGTAGTTCGGCTTTTTTTTTTTCGTAAACTGCTAGTTTTATGAGAGTTTCGGGTTTGAAGGAGAGGTGTACCGAGTTGAAGGAATTAATGACGAAAGAGTGACTCATTGGTGAACTGCATAAGATTCATACTGAGTAGTTCCGACTGAATAATATGCTCAGTAAGCACTTTTTGTGCGCCTTCTTTTGTTTTAGCAATCATGGGTTTTCTCTGTTGAACTTTAAATTCCGGATCCACGACCGAAGCTACAGCGAAGTACATACATTTTATAACGTTTGTTATTGGATCGTGATTCAAACGAGTCTTTGATCAACACAGGTTTTTTTTAAACGAAGAATTAGGCTAGGTAATATATTTTTGGTGATTTTTGAAATTGCTCACTAGCTCGATTTGACCGGTCTCATGCTCATACATGCATAAGTTGGGGTTATTTTACCAAAGAAGTTGATCCACATTATCGTAGTTTGAAAAATCGACTCCGATATTCCCCGACTTCTGTGGCAAGATGATTTTTTGATTCAAGGTACAGAAGAAAAAGCCACCTTTTCCTGGAGGACCTTGTTACCTTGTTGGGAATGGTTTGTCAACGTAGAAACACAAATCGTCTTCTTGGTTACAGAATGACACTCATTGTTATTTACTCTTTTGTTACTTCTCCTAATCTTCTTTAGTCAAAGCCGTTGTTACACAAGCAAAGGAACTGCGATTATGTCGGGATGATTTCGAGCTGCTCAAAGTGATCGGAAAGGGAGCATTTGGTGAAGTGGCGGTAGTGCGGATGCGAGGTGTTGGAGAGGTGGTGTCCATGTTTTTTTTTAATAGTCTTAGACTAAAGGTTGCACTGTTTTAAAGATTGTTTCCGTCGTTTCTATATGAAATGGAATAATTTTTTTTGTTTCGCCCTTCTATTAGTTCTATTTAAACCCCATTATCGTGTTCTTAATCTACAGCTACATGTCCAGAATTTCTTATGGAACTAAAGGGCTCGTGTAGCGCAGTGGTGGGAGGCGCCCTACAATATACGTGGGATCGATCCACGCGCCCCAGGTCTCCCAAGCCTTCCATCCTTCGGGGGTCGGCAGATTAGTACCAGACTTGTTTGGAAGGTTAGCAGTGCTGGTTCAATACATCGGTAGGCCACCGCGAGTCATTGTTAAGGCCAGATATGCATTTAATCACCTCCAAACGATGTTTGATGGAGTCGAATGCATGGCGCATCCCTCAGGGTTTGACCAACGCCGAGGGCTTCACCCTTTTTATTTTTATGGAACTAAGTTGTTTAGGTAGAAATAGCAGAAAGCTGCTTTTATTTCAGATATATGCAATGAAAATATTGAATAAGTGGGAAATGTTGAAACGTGCGGAAACAGCTTGTTTTCGAGAAGAACGTGATGTGCTTGTTTATGGTGATCGACGATGGATAACAAATTTGCACTTCGCTTTCCAAGACGAAAAAAATTTGGTAAGACATTGAAAGAATTTTAATTGGTACTTACATAGGTTACTTACGTGGATTAATGGTGAATAATAGCTCTAGTGTTCTTTCTTCCTGTCAACAACAAAATGTTGAGTTAATGTTCTTTCTGCAGTGCTCTTAAATTTCTTTTTTAAGTATTTTGTTATGGACTATTATGTTGGTGGTGACATGCTAACATTGTTATCAAAGTTCGAAGATCGTATCCCTGAAACGATGGCTCGATTTTATATCGCTGAAATGGTGTTGGCGATTGACTCCGTACATAACTTGGGTTATGTTCATCGGTATGGTTGTCTAATTACAAGCCAAAGCATAGCGTATCATTTACTTTAATGTATTATGAAAGTATTCATTTAGGGATGTGAAACCGGATAATGTTCTACTAGACATACAAGGACACATACGGCTTGCAGATTTTGGAAGTTGTCTTCGTTTGTTACCCGACGGTGATTTTTTTTTTTGCATTGTTGAGTATTTTTTTTTCCGATTTAATCTAAGTACTTTTTTTTTACTGAAGAGATGAAGGATTTATTGGATCCTCTATGCTGAGATGGTCAAACTGGAATGTTGATATTTGTAAATGGTGAACGTTATTAAATCATCTTTCTAACGGTTTACCATCTCATCGCGGTTAGGCAGTGGAGGGATTCATTCCCCCATGAGGGTCTCCCAAGCTGAAAAGAAGTCCGGCGTTTTCATCCATAAACCGAACTATGAGTAAACCAGTACCGGAATCCTACACTATCCTGGTATCAAATTAGTCGCATGGTGGCAAACCTCCCTCTAATCCACAACGGCGGCGACTGCGTGTGGTGGTGACTGCCAGGGGCAGACTCTGGCTAGGCTGACCTCTGGACTCCAGATAAGCAATAGCTAATTCAGCAAAACTCCAAAATATGGAAATTGTGCTTGGGCCCGCACAACCAGTGAACACGGCCATCCAAGTATCCAAGTAAGTAAGAACGTTATTAAATTGAATAGAGTAGCTTTCAGATCTCTCAAATTCATATGAAGTTCTTAAAGATGGATATTCAACTCGATTATGGATTCTTGTTTAGGTTGACTCTCATTTAGGTACTGTGGCTTCCAACGTTGCCGTTGGAACCCCAGACTATATCTCACCCGAAATTTTACGTGCTATGGAAGACGGTAAAGGACATTATGGGAAAGAATGTGACTGGTGGTCCCTAGGAATTTGCATGTTCGTTGTTTTCTTTACTTGACACTTGTTTATGTAACTTTTACAGGCGTTTTTTTTTCCTAAATAGTTACCATGCAAGAAGTACGTGAGTGTGACTATGAACCGAAAATCTTGCTAATTCGTTTTTCTCATTCTCGTTGAAATTTTTTTTATGACTTAACGATCTTCTACGTTTCTTCCAGGTATGAGATGTTATACGGAAACACCCCGTTTTACTCCGAACGCCTGATCGATACGTACGGGAAGATTATGAGTCATCAGGTTGGCCATGCAAGTATGATTATCTGAATGTAGTATATGTGGATGTGCTTATGTTTTTATGTCGATCTATCATTATTACTTCATTTTTCGTAAGCGCTTAAGTTCTTTGTTCTTCAGGATATGCTCGATTTCCCCGATGAGGATATTGACTGGACGATATCTGAAGAGGCGAAGGACTTGATACGACGGTTGATTTGTCCCAGAGAAGTATGGCGTTTGTATGGCGTTTGTTTGGCGTAAATGGATCCGTAGTCTGAAAATCGATTGCAGGTCCGTCTTGGCAAAGGTGGCTTCGCTGATTTCCGTGATCATCCGTTTTTTGTTGGCATAGATTGGGCACAAATACGTGACTGTAAGTGTGACAGGCTTCATTGATTGTTTTCAACCATATTATGTTATTTACTCTTTCTTATTTCTTTCTTTGCCTCATTTGATGTTTTCCAGCGGATCCTCCTTATCATCCAGAAGTATCCAGTCCAACTGATACTTCAAATTTTGACGTTGATATTTGTGAAGATGATTTTACACCTTGTGTCAGTGTTGTTAAATCAGTTGTTTTTTTTTCGCTTTTATCACACTGACGTAATTAGCAGCTAGTTTTAGGAGACTCAACCTCCTCGCGTTACCGCTGCTTTTACGGGTCATCATCTTCCATTCATTGGCTTTACGTACACTCATGGAAGGTGGGTTGCCTTGGATTTTCGTTTCATGAAATCAGCGATTTCAGTTCACAATAGGTTTATATGAACTTCTCTAGCTCCCAGCTTATGCTGCCTGTATGAAGGTTTTGTCTACTTTAATAAATGGTCTTTTAAAGTCTGCTTTCTGACGCGAAGTCATTGGGCGATTGTTTGTCGCGTGATTCTGTTGCAATCGGTGAATCGCAAACAGCTGGATCTGTTGCTTACGGCAAGAGGTTGAAAGAGTTAGATGTTGGAAGCAATGAGTTGGCGAGGAAGTGTCAAGGTTTACTTTGTTGTTTTTTATTGTTTTTATATATCTTGGTGTTGGTGGGCTTTATTCTAGTTATGGTTTGTAATATTTGATATATGGAACGGCTGATGTTTTTCAGAAGCGAGTCAATTTATCCAGTCGTTTTCTGGCGAGCTTCGTTCGGATGAGGAGAAAAACTACGAACAGACGATAGCGCAGCTTCGGGATGAAATTCAGGCTGGGTCCCTTTGCTTTTTCATTTTTGAAACTTTTCGTAGATATATGGTCCTAAGGTACTTCAACAGCGCATTGTTTATTATTTTCAGATCTTAAAGACACGCTTGGCAGATGAAGCTGCATCGAAAGAGCGTGCTGCTACTGCTAAAGATCCAGCTATCGAGGATTTGGAGAAGAAAGTTCGGGAACTGAAGGAGAAGAATCGACAATTGATTCTGGAGAAGACCGAGTTGCAGCGGGTGAGCAACCTGCTGATTGGCGTTGGTGAATTGGGCGATTTCGAAACGGATGGCAGTTGTGGTCGGGGAAGAATTAGAGATCGCGAATTCTCTAGAGTTGGAGACGAACGTGCGCCACCTGACCCTTTAACGGCTCGTTTATCACTACAGCATCATTACCATTACCGTGATAGTAGCAGTGCAGAGAGTGGATCAGTGTGCCGAAAACGCGCGAGGCTTTCAGTTGCGTGTATACGTTCCACAACGTTACCATCAGACTCAACTGGGATAAGTAGAGGGCGTAAACGTAGGCGGCGAGTGAGGCGGCCGTACTTTTTGTGCTTGTTGATTTGTTTTGGGTTGTCACTTATTTATCGTTGTTCACAGACCGATATTATCCAGGGGCTAAATCTGACGCCTTTGATTGTAGTGCAGTTTATAAAATGGCTGCAAGGAATCTTACAAGATGGTATTCAGTTCATAGCGAATTTGTGAGTATGCTTGGTTCATGTTGTTTGTTAGTGACTCCAAAGATTGGAGTATCTAGGATTTTTTAAGAAGTGTATATTGCGGTTTCATTCCATGAGAGTGGGTTTCACTGGAACTGCTTGACTAACTGGGTTGATCATCGATTAGTCGGGTGAACCGCATGTTTTTGATTTTCCCTTTGTCATTCCGAAGTCACTGGATAACGTTTTTGAGTGAAATCAATCAATCAATTGTTACGTAGTTATGCGAACTTTCATTTGTAGTGAACCTAAACTAAACTCTAATGGGAAAAATTGCTTGAAAGGTGTGCCAGATGTTCCCACTTTCATGGGCCAGCGCTGTACATCATTTTTTGTGAAGATACTGGCTAATGGGACTTATTAATTCAGAGTTAATTTTGCTTACGAAAATCTTTTAGAAACATTTTATCTATCGCATAGTGCTTGTCTAGGTTGTTAAGGGCGTTTCTTACAATACCCAGTTCCATGGTTTTCAACACTCTTGCTTTTAGTGTTTTTTCTTTTTATTCGGTTCTTTTTTGAATGCCTTGAGTGTCGGTTGATGTCTTGTCGTGTTGTGACGTCATAATCACTTATTGCGGTAACTCTCTGTCCTTGTCAGACAATCACAAATTTTATGTTGTCATTGGAGTTGTATAACACCTTTGTGATTCCCACAGCCTTATTCTTTCTTATTCTGGTTGTCTTCGTATTAGTTCCATTAGTTCATCTCCTCGTCTTTAACTTCATTATCATCATCATCATTCATCATCATCGCCATCATCATATGCAGCATCACTAAATGCATCATTGTTCGTAAATACTGGTTCTAGTCAAGAAATAAACGTGTGATGATCCGGTGGTGGTGTTGAATGATGGTGTACGAGAACTTCATTTGGGTCAAAAGTTGTTGTGATGTTTCTATGCATGCTGTGAAAAGCACAACTGGAAAAGATTCGAGATGGTAAGAAGAGATTTGATCGAAGTTTCAACTTTTTTACTAGAACTTGTCCCTAATGCTCTCATGATGTACTGGGATGACTTCTTATGGATCATATGTACAGAGGTAGCTCTCTATGCTAGATTCAAGCTTTCTTCCATTTCCCTCCTTCCCTTTCATTTATCCCATTGACTCGCCGCTGGATTCTCCCATGTTGCTGGGCGCGAGTACTGTTTAGCTTTAGTTTTCCGGTATCTGTGCGTTCCAGCCTTTCATGCCCACTCGATCCGTTTATACGACTGGATGTTCTCAGGAGTTCCACCGGTTGAAGCATCAGTTCTGATGTAAGATGCGCTTAAGGGAATTTGGGGAGTGGTCTGGAACTTTGGGCAGTAGATAGTTTATTTTGGATTTACAACTGAAACGATGAGAAACAGCTTTAATCTTGCTGTGCTGGTGTTGGGAAATTGAGCACATGACTTGTAATGGGTATAGTAGTCGCTTTACAACAGGCTTAATAAATACCTAATTGTATGGGCGAAACTTTTTTTAGTTACCTTGCTTCCTTTCAATCCCTTAATCTGAGTGGTTATGTATCTATTTATGTGTTGGATTTTAGGAACTTGAGGAAAGTGCTGAGAAGCTAACTATTCAAACGAAGGAATGGAAAGATGCCATCAAACACCGCGAGTCTGCGAAAGCAGACTTCGAAGAGGTGTGACGTTTTTGTAAATCTTTACTACTAAGCGTTTTGTCCTAGTTTTTAGAAGTATTTTGTAGGTTTGTTTGTATTCTACTGTAAAGTACTAAATTAGGAAGTACTTGAAGACAGAGCATAAGTTTCTGAGAAGCTAGACGTTTTTCTTATGGTAAATAAACGTGTATACAATAGGGAGTGTGTGCAGCGCAGTGGTAGGAGGCGCTGTGCAACACACATGGGATCGATTCCGCGTCCTAGGCTAACCAGGCTTTCCATCCCTCCGGGTTCGGCAAATTAGTACTAGACTTGTCTGGAAGGATAGCAACACTGGATCGATGCATCGGTAGGCCACCGCGAGTCATTGTAAAGGCCAGATACGCATTCAACCACCTCCAACGATGCTTATCGAGGTCGAATGCATGGCGGATTCTCAGGGATTGATCAACGCTGAGAAGTCATCCTTTTATGCTTTATATGTTTTGTGATTCACGTCTTTATCGGTTATAGCTTATCATCGAATGGACATCGAAAGAAATCGTTGTCGTAATATGGAACGTGATTGTTCATTAGTATTAAGAACTGTGATTTTACTACTAAATCGGAATGTCTCCCCCATTGTTCTCTTCGTCTTGCCTTAAAGCGATCTTTATCGATACTTCAATCTTTGTGGCTTTTAGTTAAACAATGAGCTTCTTGATGAGCGCAATAAGGCACGTCGCTTGGAGAAAGAACTTAGTGAGGCAGAGACAAGACTTGCGCAGTTGCAGAGCAGAATGGACACAATGAAGTCAGATCTTCGAAAGGCAGAAAGTGGTAAACATTTAAAGCATACCTCCCAACAAGTCAAGTCACATTACCAGTTTAAATTCCATTTAGTCTATAGCTTGGCGTGGATGGCGCTGATATGCAGTTCTTGTTTTATAAGTGTTGTCTTCTTAGAGCAATGCAACATCTTACTTTAAGAGCTCGTAGAATGATGCATTAATGTTTTCGGATCGCAATGATTGGTCATAATTTAGTATCAAAATAGCTGGTTTTGAGAGTACGGATTAGAACTCATTTAGCTCGGCATGACCTGGATATGGAGCTCGAGAAGGTCAAACAGGATTCTGAGTCGGAGCGACTTCTCAAGGAAGGTTTGCAAGCGAAGGTAATAGCGGATTTTTGCTCTATTCTGCTCTAAAATTCCATGAAACCATAGAATCCTTAGTTCTTATAATGGAATAGCTCAAAAATAACTTAGTACTTCTAGCTAGCGGCCTTTGGTGATGAGAATCCCGGACAAGAAGCACGTCGTTTGGGTGAAGAGTTGGAACGACTAAATGAGAGACATACTGAAATTCTTGCGCAGGAGGATAAAAAGAGAAAGCAGTTGGTTGAACATTACCAAGTTGGTGTTGACTATAATCTTTCCTTCTTTGAGCCCAAGTAGCTTACCTGGTATCAAATGGTTGCGATAATGCTGAAGATTTTGTTGCTTGTGATCTGGGAACATTTTGTTTGTCGTTTCTATCCGAATCAGTTCATCCTTTTGTCCTTCTCACCTATTATCTTTTTCCGTCTCTTCTCTTCATTCATTGATCAGTAGTCCATCGGTAACATCGGTATAACGATGGGTATATTCTTGGATATCAAGGACGTGACACCATTGAAAGGTATTCTTGAAAGGTTTGAACTGTCAAGTTTGCGTTGAGGTTTACTGCCAAATATTCTCCAGGAACGTCTCCTTTGGGGGTTTCCATGCATACTGCGCAAAATTCAAACTCGAAATGAGTGATGCGATGATTAGTCCAAAAACCTAGTTTTATCCTCTGCTTGGTGTTTTTTTCGGGTACTGGTGTTTCCTACATGGCTTTTCGATTTCTCTTCACACTCAACGATCTTCATAGAGACAGCTGAGAGGCCGGCATGGTGTGGTGGTGATCGGGTTAAACCCCGGAAAGAGTTTCGTTCCCCAGCGCAGACATCTGCGGTCCGGAGTTTTGTGAATATCTCAGCATAATTGAACTCCCTAGATTTCATTTACATGTGAGACACATGGTTACATTAGCTTTGTGAGGAGCTGGTAGGTTAGGCACCATATACGGACTAAATGATCGTTTCAGAACCGGTCTAAGCATCGAAAGGTTCTACTTTGCGCCTCTGACACTTTGAGGTGGGAAGGTGTACAATCATACAGTACAGCATCGTGTTTTCTAGTTTTGACATAGGGTTGTTGTAAAAAAACGCAAAAATGCACATTTCTCTACCCGTCTTGATGTCCATTAAGTGGTTTTCAAACTGCTTTTTAGGGTCAACTTGCTGAACTTCAGTCGCAGTTAGACGAGAAGGAGGTGGAATTGAGAAGCATCCGCGCCAAGGTGGAAGATGAACGCGCTCAGTTTGTGTTGCAACAGGAACAACATTCTAAAAATGTTGAGGTTTGTTTCGCGTTGAATTGAAGTGTTCGTGGCCACTGATTTTGGTGGCCACTCATTTTGTGGATGTGTAGGTGCAATATGAACGTCTTCAAAAGGCATTGGAGGACAATATTGGTCAACTGAAACTGGAGAATGACACGCTTCGAGCTGAACTTTCTCGGTTACATACTGAGATGTGAGGCGTTTTCTACTTTTACCACTGTCATACCGGCCATAGTAATCCTTATTGTACCATCCAGTTTTGGTTTTCGATTTACTCTGTGCATATCTTCACTTATGTCAAAGTTGCTTGTTTGCTCGTAATGTCATAAATTTCCGCATTTTCCTACAGAGAAATGGCTCGGCCAGGTATCAACGAACAGCAGCTTCATGAGATTTTAAATTGGGTGAATGAGGAGAAGGCAACCAGAGAGGAAATGGAAGTATGTCTTCAACTAGCCGCAATTTCTATCAGTTGTTCGCCAGTTTCCACAGCTAAATCAGTATCAATTGTGAAAATAGTCATCTTTTCCCATATGACCATAGTTTTACGTATTCCTCATTTTTTTGTTACTTCTTGTAATCGCTCAATTTATAGCTATTGACTCGGCGGATCACAGGCGACATCGAGACGTTGAAACTGCAAAACGGTACCTCTATTAGTACTCCTCACAGTGGTTCGTGTTTTCCTTTGCAAATTATTTGTTACCTTTTTGACGCTTGGGCCACTACATAGTTTTGCGTCTTTGGCGAATGATTTTCCATAGATTCGTTGCTGATTAGAAGACGTTTTAGCAAAATTATGTATGGCTTGTACGAATACAGATTGAGAGCCTGATTTGGATATTAGAGAGTTATGTTAATTTCATATTATTTTTCTTGCTGTTTCGTATATTTCGTACTGTGGGCTCATGTAGCGCAGTGGTCGGAGGTGCTCTGCAATAATCGTGAGATCGGTCCTCGCGCCTAAGGCTCACCAAGCATTCCATCCCTCCAGGGTCGGCAAATTGGTACCAGACTTATCTGGGAAGATAACAACACTGATTCGATGAATCGGTAGACCACAGCGAGTTACTGTAAAGGCCAGATATACATTGAATCACCTGCAACGGTGCTTAAGGATAAAGGATAAAGCTCTCGGCGTTGATCAATCCCTGAGGGATGCGCCATGCATTCGATTTTATTAAGCACCGTTTAGGGGTTATTGAATAAATATCTGACCTTTACAATGACTCGCGGTGACTTACCGATGTATCGAGCCAGTGCTGCTATCCTCCCAAGTCTGGCACCAATTTTCCAACCCCGGAGGGATGGAAGGCTTGGCGGGGAGATCGATCCCACACGTGAGTCGCAGGGTGCTTCCAAGCCCAGCGGCACGTGCCCTAATGAATACAGCGAAGCTTAACGAAGTAAAAAGAAACGAAGGAATACATGGCGCATCCCTTGAAAGTGGATCGGCCCCAAAGTTTTATCCTTTTATTTCATAGTGTAAACCTATTAACTACAATTGCAGGTCAGTACAGCAACATTACAACGCCGGCATCAGGATGGGGTTCTCGTCGCATGAACAAAGCCGCCAAAATGGAGGTCCTCTATATTTGTTCTTTTGTCAATATAGCTTCAATACAAAAAAGGAATTTGGGGACGAAGTCTTCCAGTAGATTGTTTATCATTTGTTTTGCTGTTTGTTAGCCTTGTGTAATAGTGTACCACAGCTGTCTTTTTTAAGATTTTGGACGCGAAAAAAGCATTGAACGCTGAGATTCGAGCTAAATGTGAACTTCAAGAAGAGCTGAGCAAAACACGTTCGGCGTTGTTCGCTTCAAAGGCTCGTTTAGATGAGTGCGAAGAACGTGTGAGTGTCGTTTTCTTTTTACAAACCATGCTTCTATCTTTATTCTGTCTTTCAGTTGACTCACTTGATCATTTCATCGGCAAGTAAATGTGTTCAATGTAAAACCATTTGGCTAAGTGGCATCTTTGCTCGTTTAGCACTGCAAGATAGAGAGACCACACATTTTTGGAGTGAATATATTTATTGCGATTCGTTCTTCTTCCAGTTGTCAGCAGCTCGAAAAGAGAACGAAGCGTTAAAAATGGAGCTTCGTGCTGGCAGTCGCGATAGTGTGGAGGATGGAAGAGCATTTTTCAATATGGTGCCGGAAGGTAAGGTTTTCTTATAGTTAACTCAGATTAACATATTCGACACCAAGCTGGTTTTCACAAATAAATGATAAAAGTTTGATAACTAGAGCACTAATTCTGCGGCATTTTTTCTATCAGATTGTCATAATTGTCTAATCTGTCCACCGCTTTATTTCAAGGTAGAACGTCTACCCCACGTAATTCAGTGCATAACTCATTCAGCACAGAATACGAGATTTCGAACAGCAGAAGATGTGGTGGGACAGGGTAAGTGCTGTTGTAGTTGTCCTTCTATACAAAGCTCTGTCGTCGAGTGGGCCTTGGCAGTTTTTCTTAAAACGTTTTTGATGCCCAGATTTCGCAGCTCTACACTAACGGTTTACCGCCTCATCGTGGATTGAAGGTGTTCTTGGACGTCGCGCTGCGACATAGCGCCGAGATTTATCCCCCAGCAGGGTTTCCCATGCTGAGAAGGAGTCCGGCGTTTCCATCAGTAAGCACAGTTAAAGTAAACCAATACTAGGTTCTACCACGGTCCTGGCATCAAACTAGTCGCATGGTGATAAATCTCCCTCTGATCTACAAGGCCGGCAATTGCCTGTGGAGGTAGCGACCTGGGGCCGACTGACGTTGAGACTCCAGAGAACCATAATGCTAAGTCAGCAAAACTCCGAAAAATTGGAAATTTTGCTAGGGTTTACCAAAACCAGTGAAGATGGGCCACCAAGTACCCAAGCAGGTCAGCAAGTAATTTCACCGCCTCTGTATGAAACAAAATTTGAACTAACTGTTAGGAATCAGTATTGAGTTTCCTGGTATGGAAAGCCACTTTTTGAGAATTATATAGGGTTATTATGGAATTTGCTGTTTTTGATGTTTCGTTTGATCTGGTAACAATGTCTTTTAATTTTCGTGGCATTCATATAGAGGTACCAGCCATGTTTTGGAGTTAAGAAATAATGTTTTGATGTGTTACAGGCTGTCATCTCCCGCTCCTCCCGCTTACGAGAATACTGTGCGGCATAGTCAGACGCCATCAACAGCGTCGACCATGATAGTTGGAAATCGTGGAGCTAGCCCTAAGGTCCCTTTTTCGGAGAAGTTCACTTAAATGACTTATTTTGTTAAGCTATTACTTGGTGAAAATGAATCATATATGCGGATAGCTTTAAGCGGAAATTTTCAGAGAAAGGAAGGTACATTTCCTCACAATTCAAGCTAATCGAATTCACTTCCAGGTTATACAGTCATTGAACAACGCGTTGAACGGTCGAGGTCATCAGTTCCAGCATGTTCATTTGAACGCACCAACAAAATGTGGCCACTGTACTTCTATCCTAGTTGGATTGGATCGACAGGGTGCGCATATTCCCGTGATTTTTTTTAGTTGTTTTTCTTTATTAGAAGAGAAGTATTGTTCTAACGGTTGCAGCACTGCTCAAACATTGTTTATGTGGAATTTCCAAAATTCTAGGACTTTACTGTCAAACATGTCATTATGCGTGCCATGTGCACTGTTCTTCTCGGGTCGTACCACAATGTCCTGTGCCACCAGATGCTCGTCGCCCTCTCGGAATAGATCCACTAAAAGGCGTTGGAACTGCCTACGAAGGACTTGTGAAAACACCTCGCGCTGGAGGTGTGAAGAAGGTGCTCATTTGCAAATGCTCTTACACTTTCGATTTTGTGTCTTTCAAATCTTTTAGTTCAGTTCCTCGAGATTTGGGTATATCGACGTAGGACCAACTGGAGTACCTTATGTTTTTGTATTTGTTCTCCAATTCCTTATTTACGCAGTCCTCTTTTTCTGTCATAGAAATTGCGAAATATTGTTTAGAAGGTGGTATCTATCCTTTATAACGTATTTTATCTTAGGGTTGGCAACACACGTATGTGGTTGTGTGCGATTTTAAACTCTACCTCTATGATTGCATCACAGATCGACAAAATAAGGCCAACGAAATCCATCCGGTTATTAGACAGGTTGTTGTTTTTCTTTCCTTTAGTTAATCTTTAAGATTATTGTTTTATGTTGCTTTTGTGTCTGTCCTCTTAAATGTCACTAAATGTTAAGTGTAGCCATTCTTATTATGAGACGCAGTTTAGGTACTTGATATGAGAGATCCTGATTTTGGTGTTACCGGTGTCAGTGAGCAAGATGTGATTCATGCCAATAAGTGAGTGGATTGTGGATACATAATTTGAAGAGCAGTTCTGAAAACGCATCGACTGTGTTAAACTTATTTCTTTTTTTTTTTTAACGATTTCTTACCTTCTCTTTACGGTAGAAAACTAGCTGATAGAAAGACAGCAAAGGCCTCAGTGGTGCAGCGTGTACCACGCGAGCCCCTGGAAAGGGTAATCGTGGTTTGATCTGGCTTGGAGTCCAAGTTTTGCGAATATCTCTGCATCGTTGTGGTTGTATTGGACATCGTACCCTTTTGTGAGAAATTATAGTAGGCAGCAAATAAAAGGTTAAAAGTGTTTGCTAAACAGAAGTAGAAAGAATTATTCAATCAATGCCGAGGTTAATAGAAAGTCGGACGTGGGAGTTACTAAAAGGTTAACGTTCACTTTACGTTGTAAATTAAACATGTAGCGCAACTATTTAATACATTCCTAATGAGTATTGTTTTCAAACTATACAAAGCTCTTAAAATGTATTTTGAACAATAAAAGGTGTATCTAGGAATGATTTGGCAAAAATCTTTCGTATTACGACCAGCCAAATCCAAGGATCATCATCTACGGATGAAAGTGCTGCGACGAAGCAGTACACATTGTTGATGGCTGATAGTCAAGAAGTTAGTATGGCTTTTGCAATTTACAGATTTGTAATACGCATGGTACCTTTGCATTTTATGGACTTCTATAGCCGTTTTTCTGATCAAGTTTTGTGTTTTTACAACTTTAGGAGAGGAAGAAATGGGTGATAGCACTGAACGAACTCAAAACTTTGCTGAAGCGGTCACGTCTTGCTGATCGTAGTGCCTTTAGTGTAAAGGTTTGTGTTAGTGACTTCACAGTTTTCAAATTATGAGTTCTACGTAGTACTAAGGCATGTGAGGTTTAACTTCTCATGGTTTATTGTGATAGGGACTACTCAGTTAGTTTGATGGACAGATAGTCCTCTCAGACACGAGAAGCTGATATCAATATTTCTTCCATGTTTCGTTCCCAGTAGAGGTTATGGTATTCCTGTGTGGGTTCGGTTACAGCTGCATGATCTCGGTTCCTCTCTCCTTTTTGACGTGTTAGCTGCTAGTCGAGCATATCGTTTTTTGGAATCCCGAGAAAGCCTTACTAAAGCGTTTTCAATACTTCACTGTAGACACTTTCTGGCTTTGTCTTTCGAAAGGTTTGTTGCCTTGCAACTAGGACCACCAACGTTGCTTACGATTAGTCGTTAGGTTGGCGATGTAGCAGAAGGGCGGGGTCCAGTGGTTATCTAGCTTAATTAATGGTTTTTTTTTTGGATTGAGGAAATCAATACTTCTAAAATTGTTTTAAGTGTTCTTTCTTTCTTATTGGATGTCTCAAAATCTATCTTTTCTTTTAGGAAGTATTTGATGTTACCAGTCTACCATCAATACGGGTGGCTCAATGTGCAGTCGTCATCGACCGAACTAAAGTGGTTATCGGCTTTGCCGACGTTGGCATGTATTGCGTTGAACTAGACCGTGAGGTATCTAGGACGAATTTTATTTTGGTTTCTCTCGCTAGTCGTTTAGTTACTGCTGTGGCTGTGAATTCTCGGGTCTGGTTTTTCCTAGGTTGACTTATGCATTTATTCAGACGTTAGTGGCAGTTGGCGGTGAGAAGGAGAACAAGGGTCGTTTCGTAGAGAAGGTGGAGTTCAATGCGTCGGAGCAGGTGTTTTTCGCAAATTTTGATTTAATAGAAAGTACTGCAAACTTCAGAAACTTTGAAAACTGTATTTATTCGCTTCAAAATACGGCAAAAAGAAGGCGAGGAAAAAACCTATTCGGGCCCTAAGTTATTTCCATCTTGATGGAATGTTTTTTTGCATTCTTGCAGTTGTTGTTTTATTTTATAAGTTTGATGTAGGCTGAAAAATGTTTTTTTTTTTCAAATTGAACGACACAATTGTTTTCGGTCACATGTATACCATTATTGCGATATTCAGTTAATGCTAGTAATGGTCGGTCCTACGAAAGATCGCCACGTTCGGTTGGTGCCCTCTGCTGCGCTCGATGGACGGGATTTAAAGTGGATCAAGGTTATTAGAGTTTTGAAGAGAAGCTGGTTTTACTATCGGATCATTCTTTTATCTACCACCAATTTTGATTAGGTGGCCGAAACAAAAGGTTGTCATCTGATGTCGATGAGTGCTGGTAGTATTTCTGGAACGTCTTCGGCTAGTTCAGCTGGAAATGTGCACTACATAGCTGTTGCGATAAAGAAGAGTGTCATAGTTTATCAGATTGACCGCAGTGAAAAAAGGCACAAGAAATGGAAGGTAATTTCTGTTGTTTTCCTGAGATTCTTGTAAATAATACGTAGCTTCATAGGTTTTTCTCTTCAGATTCTTTGTCATTCTTTGTGACGACGACGTTTTTAGACTGATAGGCTAATTTAGAAATCTGGATGAAAGCACATGTTGTAGAGATCGTGTATATTTTGAGCATAAGATTTCGTTGACTTTGCTAACATCCACTGTTGTCGTATAAGTTAATATTGGGCAAAGGATATTGCCATTAATTACTTTTTTATATTTATGCGGAAAGTTGCTAATTAAAAATTGCGTCATACAAATGGTCGGGTTGCTGAATCCTCCCAATGGTTTACCGCCTCATGGTGGCTTAGAGGTGTTCGTGGATGTTGGGCTGCGATGTGTACAACTGGGGAACTCATCCTCCACCCCCAGTATAGTTTTCCTAGCCAAGAACGAGTCCGACGTTTCCATCCTGAAGCCCAGCTAAGAGTAAACCAATACCAGGAGTCACCACCGTTCTGCTACCGAACAAATCGCATGATTGCCATTCTTTCTCTGATCCACAAGGGCGGAGAAAGCTTGGGGTGGTGACGAGCTTGGCCCAAACATCGGCTAGGCTGACTTCGGGACTCCAGGGAACCACAGTAGATAAACCAGCGGATCTCCGAAAAATGGAGATTATGATGGGAACCGCATAACCAGTGAGGACGGGCCATTCAAGTATCAAGTAAGTTTTTAAGGATTAGTTTACAAACCTTGTTTGTTTTCTATTTCTGGTGCTGTTTTTCTTGTTAAAGGCATGTTCTTTGCTTCATAACGGTAAGGTGTGTTTATTGAAGGAATTAGCTATGCCGGGTTTGCCACAGTCGTTAGCAGTGGAAGGTGACCGCTTAGTTGTTGGCTTTACGCATTCGTTTCGCACATGGGCGCTGGGAGATCAAGCCAACACTAAGCATATTTGTAAGTTATACCTTATAAGTTTTTGGCGAGAAAATCTACTGCTTTTCTTATCTATTGGTGTCATCTAAGTATTCCATGAATTTATCTTTGCAACCACAAGGTTCTTAAGATATGCACGAAACGCAGGACCCGTCGTGGGCTTCGCACTTGCGATAACACGGGTATAGCGGGGTTCACGTGCTATCCACCACACCAACCGAGGCCGTTGCTTTACCTTTTTCTCAGCCTTATTTTTGCATCTTTTAGTGCTATCAGCAATCAGTCAACGAGAATGATTTCGGAGCGCAAGTTGTCTCTAGGCTGAACCAGTTATGCTTAAGCTGTATCAGAAATGCGAAATAAACGTCGATCTTTTGCTCTATATTTTCTATATATCTCTACAACTTTCTGTTTTCCAGCTCTTGTGAATATGGAGGACCAGTCGCTACAATTTCTCAGCCAATCGAATTACGAAGCACAACTCATGATCGAATTGAATGGAGATACAGCAGAACCGTCATCGAGAGAGTATTTACTGGTGTTCGACAAATTAGGTCTCTACGTTGATGCTCAAGGTATGGATTTTCATTAACACATTCGAGGCGATGCTAGTTTTTTGGAAATGAGAGAACTTGGGACTTGAAGCGTTGATGACAGTTTTATACAAGAGACTTTAACATAGTTGTATAAAAGCATATGTAGTTTTTGAAAATATTTTGCTCCAAGTTTTTTTTTCAGTTTATTTTTTCAAATATTTCAAGAAGTTTAAATTTCGAAAGGTTGTTATGCAAGCCCTTTGATTATCCACATTAGCGCATTTCGTGACATCGGATCATTTTATGGAAAGATCGCAGGTGAAAGAGATCCCTTCATCGCATTGGAAGAGAGCTGTATCAACTGTATCACCTGCAGTCCCGTTGATCGTCGAGTGACTAGAGCGGGCGCCAGTAAATCTTCCGTTTTTTCCTGTCGCGTGCAAGAGTAGCCTTGTGGGATCTGTTCGCTCTAGGGACTCGTCGAGCTTCATATCTTTCTTCTATGCTTTTCGTAAAGAACTCTGACCATCGGGTCAGTGGTCTGCCTGCAGTACGTTTGGCATCCCGAGGAATCCAGTCACCAACAGCTCTTGTCCATCGCTTGTTTTTCGTACGCATTACATGTCCGGCCCACCTTATCTTCGACTGTTTGGCGTAGAGAATGGCATATTTGATTTTTGATCGTTGACGCACATCGTAGCTTCGGATCCCATCCCTTACTTGTCTGAAACGAGATACCCCTAGCATCGTCCTTTCGACTGCATGTTCAATAACGTTGAGTGATTCTTCATCCTTAGGAAGTACCGTTGAGTTGAAAGGGCAGACACGGAGTCGGGTGTTCTTTGTTCTCTTCGCTACATCCTCGATGCTCTTTAGGCTCCCTCAGGCTGCTCGTTTCCTTCTTCTCAGCTCTGGGGCTAGCTCGTTCATCATATTGATTTCCCGACGTAGGTAGACATAACTGGAGCATTCGGAGATATTCGTTCCGTTGAGCGTGAATGAGTGATAAGTAATCAATCCGTTCCTCATAAATATCGTTATTGTGAGATTTAGTCGAAGACCAATCTTTCCACAGGCTCTATCAAAGTCGACAAGCATACATTCCTCTTGGCTAATCTTTGGTATTATAAGGATGATGTCATCAACAAAGCGAAATGGTGTAACTGTCGACCATCGATTTATACTCCGATATTATTCCATTCCAATGTTCGCATGACGTTCTGGAGGGTGGCGGTAAATAATTTTGGTGAGATAGTGTCGCCCTGCATAACCACTCTTTTGACATCAATGTTAATATCGTTGTAGAATGGTGACACCTTGGTTGTGAAATTTTTGTACAGCTCACGAAGAATCTTTATGTACTGAGCAGGGAATCCTTGACTATCAGGGGCTTCCATGATTGCTTCTTTCTCAGTTGAATCAAAGGCCTGTAAATCGATGAAAGTGAGACAGAGCTGTCTTTTTTACTCTCGCGATACTTTAGTGAGCCTTGTTATTGTGTGGATGTGGTCGATCGTACTAAATCCTTTTCGAAACCCTGCTTACTCACATTTGCTCTCCTTTGTCTAGTGTTCTGTCAATCCTGTTTAGGATGACTCGAGTGAAAAGTTTGTAGACGAAATACAGTGAGCAGATTGGGCGATAGTTGCGGAAATCATGCAGGTCAGTAGGGACCTTGCATTCAGACAGGCAACGTGTGAAGAGCCGAGCCAGTGTGTTTACGAGGACTAGTGGAAGGTTCTTCAGGTGTTCTGGTCTTCTTATCCTGTCTGGACCTGATGCTGTTCGATTTTTCACTGGCGAAATAGCGTATCGGACTTCGGAAGTGAGAACCAATGGTACAACATATACATCCTTCATTTCATATGAAGAAAGAAAGATGTGGACATTGAAGATATCTTAGTAGCATTCGTGAGTGAATTTCTCCATTGCCTTTCTGGACGCTGTAACTGTTCCATCTGGGCGTCAGAGTGCTGTCATCTTTTTTTGTAATTGACGAAGCTTCGGTGGGCTTTGCGAATGCTTTTCCCAGCCTCTGCAGCTTCGACGATTATTGCTGCTGTTCTCTCTTTAAGATTTTTTATCTCCTATCTGCACTGTTTTGCAAATTTGGACGTTAGTTCGCGGTTGCCTGCAGCTCGTGCGATTTCACGCTGGCGTGCCAGCTCGAGTGTTTCTGGAGACAGACGTCTCTTGGTGACTTTCGAACTCTCAGCTTTCATAACGCTAACGTGAAGATGTTGAATGAGCCGATCGTATTCTTCGTCGATGTTACCGACAACGGCATCTTCCCAACAGCCGACTAATGAATTGTATAAGTCCCAGTTCGTGGTGGTTCTGGGACCTCGGTTCTTGAATTTAGCGGCTTTTCCTACTTTACGAGAAATAGAATCTTGCGCGAAGGAGGCGGTGGCCCGATCCCGTGTAGAATTTTGGGACAACAGTGACATCGGTTAGGCAAAGCCTACTGTTTACCATGATGTGCTCTATTTCGTTATGGATCTCTCCACTGAAAGTCTCCCACGTTCAGTGCTGAGGGTGGAGCTTCTGGAAGTGGGAGTTACCATGGATTGCTTTAGACGCCATGATAAGCTCAGATAGCCGCTCACCCTATTCGTTTCATTCTAATCCGTGGGTCCCAATGCGACGTTCTTCGGACGTTCTTCTTGGTCTAGTCTTGGCGTTGAAATTTCCAATGGTGACCTTGAAGAATGTATGGTCTTCTTTGTAGAAGTTCTCCAAGTCCATATAGAACGCTTCGACTTCTTCTTCGTCATAGTTTGATCGGTTCATTCGAACAACTTACAACCCGAATCGGATGTTTACGATTAAAAGGATGTGGATTAATACCGGCTTTGGCAATCTTCATCGCTCACGTGCCGACATCAAACTTGAAAGAGAAACCGTCATTAATCGCATCCTTGTACAAAATATAGGCTTCGATTAGAAAAAAATTTGTACTGTTGAGTCATTCAGCAAAATTCGCTGAGAGACGGGATATGTTTAGATTTGAAGGGATAAGTCATTTTCGATTTGTATGTGTTGTCCGAAGTTTATTATCTAAGACTTTGTAAGTTTTCTTTTTAAAAGTTGACTTAACCACTTCAAAAATTTTATAACTTTTTTAATATATTGTCTACTAATGTGTAAAAGTTTTGTTTTTCGAATCCATAAAACTCGTTTTAGAGTTGGCTTCCATTAACTAACCACCATTTCTTTTGCATAAGAGCGGTTAACGCTGCGGTAGTGACACCATTTATCAAGAGCGCGGTACTGGTTTTTTCCCGGTTGCGCTCACCAAGCCTCCATTCCCCCATGGGTTGGGAAGAATGGTACCAGACTTTTCGGAGAATAGCTCATTCACTGCAATCCAAATGAGAACGCTCTGGCCTCTCCATCTCAAGACTCTACGGTGAATCATTTCGGCCAGCATTCAGCGACATTCATGAGGAAAGCAACAATCCTCAAGTATCAGTCGAACCTATACGTCTCGAGTTGGAAGATCTTCGTGAATTGTGATGCTAGAAAATAAATACGAGAGGAAATGGAATCCGTACAGTGGATGTGGAGACTGGTCTTCTAAAGTCTAATGAAATAGAAAATTTTGTATTGAGACGGAGATTTCTCTTTGAAACCGTTGCACAAGGGTTACATCTTTGCCCGCTGCACACAGATTACTTCCCTATACCATAGGATCTAGGTTTTTTTTTTTTATAAAAACAGTTTTTACACATACATTTGTCTACAATGTTTTTTGGCCTGTTACGTCGCACTGATCTGGTCGATCGACTACAGGCGTACTAAAGGAATTGTTGACGGGTAGGAAGACATCTCCACTTTTTACGCAAGGAAATCTAAAAAAGCCGACAACTATTGGCTTTGAAGAACCGGAACTTTCTAGTTGGGCTTTCCCAGTATTCCAAGGAAAACTATGCCCAACTAACGTTCATCATATCGAAAACGAAGGAAGACGTCAGTTCTTGACTAAATCTTCACGTGTGCAGTGACAGGTTAGGGGACGAGTGATTTGAATCGATGTTTAGGATTTCATGACGTTTTAAATGGGGCTGTACTGGTATCTATGTAGATGATATCGAATTAGAGGCCGTAGATAATATTGAATATCGTCACCATTTTATGTTTAGGCCGGAGAAGTCGATCTCAAGAGTTAATGTTTCCATCGGCTCCACGACCAGGCGGTTTCGCACATCTTAGTCCTCATCTTTGCGTGTATTCTGATAACCAGGTTGACGTATTTGATGTGAGATCTGCTGAATGGGTCCAAACAATCAACCTCAGGTTGCTTTTTAGCATTGTTTGAATCGTAGAACAAGTTTGAGTGGTCGGTGAAACCACTCTTATTGTAGATCTGTCGTTTTCTATGTATCAAAGTTTTAAAATTTGTACTTGAATATTGCGAAGTTTAAGAAGTAGCCAAATGTGGTCAAATCAGCATCAGTTCCCTATCTGAAATAACCTTTTTCAGGACGGCTATGCCTTTGACACCGGATGGCCTTCTTTCTTTATGTGTAGTGAATGATGCACCGTTTGTTGTCATGTTGTGTGACGTGCTTTCAGGTGATTATTATTGAAATGTTAACAACGGTTATCAAGACTCACAAAGAAGGGTTCTAGTGAGCATTTTATCCTTGAACGATCAACCACTTGTGTCTTCAGTTTACACTTTAGTTATCCTTTTCTAGACGAAGATGCTCTTGACGTGTCACAGTTCTCGGCAAGTGGGACGTCGTCAGCGATGGGTAAACGAAAGCAAGGAAAGCACAAGTTTACCGTTCGGGTTCCCGGAAAAGATGAAACTCGGTCAGTTTTAGGTCATGTGTCGAGTTAAAACACCATTGTGCCTTATTGAATGATATGCCTCCTGATCCATTGTTTTGGTGTCTGAAATAGAAGAGTCGTCAAAAAAAACCTTCATGAATCCGAGAAAATCGAAGTTCCATTTTGTTGGAATTAAAAAACACTTATGCCTTTTTACTAAAGGTTTTTATATTCTACTGGTTGTTATATCAACTGGTAAAGTTAACACTGAGTTGGTTTAGCTTAAAGTTGGAAACAGCTGTTATTTTTGCACTTTGTGAAGCATATAATTCATATGGTCGTGGGTAGATTAAAAACTTTACAAGCGATTGCAGAATATTCATGAAAGTCTACAGGATGGACTGAATTTGTTTGAGGACGTTTAGCAAAGTAACACATTTCCCTCATTATCCTTAATTTCCAGCCCTGGCGATCGAAGAAGTAATTTGCCGATATCTTATCCGAGTGATTTTATGCATATTGTGCATATGGGACCAGGATCAGTTCACGAACTCCAAAGTTTCATCGACCTTCAACCGCAAGGTGGAACCAATCAGCCAACTACAGACAAGGTGAATGATTTTCAAATGCTGTTGGGTTCTGAAAGAGCTTGCAGTAACTTCCAAGACCTACATTCTCTCAACTTCGGCATTGCTAAATAATTCTCTATTTCCCTAATAAGCACACATACGAGTTTGTTTTATACAGTATACTATATGATAGCGTAGTAATAACTTCATGTGCACTTATCAAGGAAATAGCAAACTGAGGGCTTTGTTTTACAAACATCTAGCATTCTTTTTCTGAGGAGTTGCAGGGAATGAAATATAGTATGAGGTTTGCGGAAGATCTGGTATCATAAAAGATACGAATTAAATAGGAAATACAGTGTAGTACTTTGAATGTCTTATCCAAAATATTTTCACAAAGCGTTGTTCTAACCGTTTGTTGTCTCAATCCACAGAAAGAAAATATATTCATTGCCTAAGAATTAAACGAACTAGTATATGGTTCAATACTGTGATGTGCATACTAGCGATGTTGTGTGATTTTAAAGCCCTATAAATCTTTTTTAAATGAGGAGTATTGATTGATTGTGTATAATGATGAGGTGCAATTTATTTTAAAAGTTACCTTTTACTATATATGCATCCATTAGATAGTACGGGGAGCGGCATACAAGCCCTTTCGAAGTCCGTATGAAAAATTAACGGGATTAAGGAATTAAGAAAGGAATGTGTACTCCTGATATACCTACTCTGTATCACCTGTTGTCCCGTTGATCATCTAGTGACTCGAGCTGACGCCAGTAAATCTTCCACTTTTTCTTTTCGCGTTCAAGAGTAACCCAGTGGGTTCTGCTCGTTCTAGGGACTCGTTGAGCATCATACCTTTCTTTTAGGCTTTTAATGAAGAGCTCTGACTATCGGGTCATTCTACTGTAGGTTTGACATTCCGAGGAATCCAAGCGCCAATGGCTCTTGTCCATCGGTTGTCGTTCGTGCGCATTACGTGTACGGCCACCCTGTATTCGACAATTTGGCATATGAAGCGGCGCCTCTATTCTTGATCGTTGACATAGGTCGGAGCTTTTGATTGCGCGTTCAATAACGCTAAGTGGTCTTTCATTCTGCTTACGCAGTGACCAGGGTTCTGACGCATGCGTTAAAGCAGGAAGAACTGTGAGGTATAGAAGGTGGGCACGGAGTTGGGTCATGTTGATTTCCCGACTTATATAGGCCTAACTGGAGCATTCGGTGATATTCATTCCGTTAAGCGTGAGTGGAGTATAGGAAACCAATCCGTTCCTCATGAACATCGTCTTTGTAAGATTTAATGGAAGACCAATCTTTCCACAAACTTTGTCAAAGTCGGCAAGCATTCGTTTCGTTTGGCTAGTGCTTGGCGTTATAAGAACGATGTCATCAACAAAGGGAAGATGGTATGATTGCCGACTAACGATTTCCACTCCCATTTTGTCCCGTTCGAACGCTGGCATGACTTTCTGTAGGGCGTCGGTAAATAGCTATGGTGAGATGGCATTGCCACGCTTAATCTCTCTTTTGATGTCAGTGTTAATATCCTTGAAGAATGGTAATATTTTGGTTGTGTAATTTTTATATAGCTCACGAAGAATTTTAGTGTACTGAGCGGCGATTCCCTGGCTATCCAGTTTTCCATGACTGCTCCTTTCTCAACTGGGGATGGAAGTGAGACAGAGCGGTAGCCTGTATTCCCGCGATACTTCACTGCGTCTTGTTATCGTGTAGGTGTGGCCCATTGTACCGAATGCCTTTTGAAGTTGCATGACAGTAGATGCAAGTGTGCGCGCATTGTAGGTACAGATCGTCACCTTGGTGCTTTGCGATTTAAGCATCCAAGAATGATCCTGATATTTTAGTAGTCTCTCCGTGCTTGTCCTTGCCAACGCTGCCGAATTGGGGGCTCTTTCGTGGTTAGGGGAATAAGGCCCATTTATTTTATTGTGTTTAACTTTTGATACGTACCTGTAGCTTGCTGAGCTCCGATCATGGAGGCTTAGTATACTCACAGGTTGCTTGCCAGTCTTTCCCAAAGTGGATGGGCTCTTATTTGATGGGAGCGACTCTAACCGCCCCTCATATAGTTCTGTATTACTTGATTGAAGGTTTGTGGCCGAATTGACTCTCAGAATATAATCCACACAAACAAGACAACATTTATTTATGTGATCTTATAAACTGATCTTCTTAAGCTGACGCGAGGTTGGTACACATCTTCGTTGTCGTTGTCGTTGTTTTTGATGTTATTGATCGATGGCTGACGTTTCGGCGACTTTGTCCTCCTCCCGCACGTATCCTCACGGTTCTGAGGAAGGCGAAGTCGCCGAGACGTCAGCCATCGATCAATAACATCAAAAACAACGACAACGACAACGAAGATGTGTACCAACCTCGCGTCAGCTTAAAAAGATCAGTTTATAAGATCACAAATAAATATATCAACTATCTATGCCGAGGTTTATAGAAAGTCGGTCTTTCGAGTTATTAAGACAAGAACAGTACCACGCACGCATGCATGAACATGTCCTCCTAAATAGAGAAAGTATGTGCCAAATTGGCGCAGCAGAAACAGGGACTACCCTATAGATCCGCCTGCGTCTCAGGGAAACAAAAGTCGCTTTTGGTCCGCGATTAACCCGCTATCCGGCACCTGGGATCTGTGGACTTCCGACATATATACGTATATACATATATATATATATATATGCATATACATTTATATGTAAATATGTACATATATATATATATATGTAAACATATACATATGTACATATGCACACATATGTGTACGTATATATGAATATGCCTGTTATATATATTTTATTATGTGCATATATAAATAAAAAAAGAAAAAGGGCATATATAGTGTTAACAAAAAATCCCATTAACCCTATTCTGGTTATGTTTTAACTTGTGAAGCTAGAATTTTATAGGTCCGTGGTCTTATACCAATAATGAGAAGTACAAGTTCTTCATCAGCGGCTACACATCCAGTGAAACAACTTGGAGGTTCTAAGCAGGATATCGAGCAAATTCATCGTGGACGACCGCTCAGCACAACCAGCAAAAGCTCTGAAGGTTAATATGAATGCTGTTAGCGTTTTATATACAAAATATCCTGGTTATTCATCATGTGTTAGCTTCATATTTTTACATACAAATATTTTGTGTTATTGCTGTGTCAGACATAATTTTACATTAACTGTAGGCTCTTCGTTGGGTAGAGATGGCAACACTACCACATCTTCAACGAGTTGCGAGAATCCGTACTTGGTCAGTTTTGTTTTCTTGTTTTTATTTCGAGTTAAGTTAATTAAGCTTAGTTAATACTAGTTGGTCATTAACCTTTTATTTTCTTAGGAACCAATATCGAAGCAACAGACGAATGCCACTGGCTTTACTCATTCGCCATCCTCCCCGCTCTGCCGGCTCCCTCCACAGTAACCCCTTTTGTGAGGAAAGCTTCTGTTTTACGGTACATCTGTCAACTCCGCTCATCTTTCAACTTCTCCAAAGACAATCAATGATTTATCACATTGAAACAAAACCTAGTTGAAGGTGACTAATCAGTTTACATAACTTACCAGTCGTGTTCATTCTTGATCACCTTCCGACCTTCCATGCTCATCGATTCTCTTACCTGAACATCTATAATTGTTGTAGTCACTTTGTTTGTGATAATGTTCGTTTTTGTTGTTACAGTGTTTGCTTCTCACGTGCTATAGCGCGCATATCGTCAAAACATTTAAAAAGTATTAATTTATTACTTCAAGCGTTGCTACTATATTCTATTGCTTATATCGGCTTTATGATAACATCCCAATACATCCAGGTGCCTCTATGAATCATGTTTCATGTTGATCCGGTAGTGTAAACCTATAATAATATGAACTTTATCATGCCCTTAGTGCGTGTTCATGGTGCAGCGTTACACGTTTTACAGTATATTCTAGTTGTATATGTAAGCTTCTACACTCCTAGATAAGTCTAACGAAGTTCATAAGTGTCAACGGAACTTTGCTGAATGTTCTATTCGTGTCTATAACTTAGCTCGTCTCATGAAGATGGTTTATCGATGGAGCGTAGATTGGATCGTCGTTGCATTGTTTTAGGCATACTATCCAGTCTAGACCATGTAAGATATGTGATGACTAAGCTGTTGTATACAGCATTACATATGAATGTCTTTTTGTGACTGGTTTTTTCTTTCCTAAGAGAAACTAAAATTGTATGTTAATTAATATTGTACTGTTGTGAATGGGACAGATTTACGCTATAGATGCGTATACTGCTCTACGTTGTTTTTTTTAAAGTTGTATAAATGTTTATATGAATGCTGTCCTCAACATTGCATGGGTTGTTTGGACAGATTTTGTGCAAAACAAACATTTTTTGTTACAATGGTTCCGATGTAAAATTCATCGGCACGTTGCATTACATAAGGAACTGGTATAGAACAGCCGGTAGGTAGTAGTAATATCACGGTTCTTGGTTATGGCTACCAAGGAATGGTTTATGGTTTGTAAGTTTGGTGAATGAATGAACAGTGATAGAGTGGTAGAGTGATAGAGTGCAAATCTGGCCTATACAGTGACTTCTGGTGATACGGCGATTTATCAAGTCCGCTTCTGCTGTCCTCTCAGAGAAGTCCGGTAGCAATTTGGCAATTTGCCGAGCTCGAAAGAAGGAAGGCTTGGTGAGAATTTACTCGCCGGTCAAGCCAGCTACCACGTATGTAGTGTGCGTGCAACGCAGTGGTCGGAGGCGCCCTGCGATACATATGAGATCGGTCCCATGCCCCAAGCTGAGCAAGCCCTCCATCCCTCCAGAGTCAGAAAGTTGGTACCAGTCTTGTCTGGAAGGGTAGCAGCACTGGTTCGATACGGCGGTAGGTCATAGTGAGTTACTGTAAAAGCACGATGTGCATTCAGTCATCCCCGACGATGTTTAGTGAAATCAAGTGCATGACGCAGTTTTCAGGGATTGATCAACGCCGAGAGCTTTATTCTTTTCTATCGTATATGTATTGGAGACTACCTCTGTTCCTAGCCACTGCACTTTCCGCGTTACATAAAATAAAGAACTTGTTTTAACTCCTACTTACTGCCTACTCATTTTTT